TGCTTCCCTGTCTGTGAAAAGGTGACAGGAAAGCCTGCAGCATGGACACACAGATCAAATGGGAGTGTGTGTGTGTAAGGCGGCCTACCTGGGCCTGGCCCACGTGGGCCCTTGAAATGTAGTAATAACAGCTAATCTCTGGAGACTCCTCCATGGCTCCCCATCACCCTCAGGAAACGTCAGATCCCTCAGCACGGTCTGAAAGACCTGCACAAACTGGCCCCCAGCCCTTCTCCCTCATCTCCCATCCTTCTCCCTTACACTAGCCTCTTTTCTGTTTCTCAGACATGCCTTGCATGCTCCCACCTCAGGGCGTTTGCACATGTTTTTCCTCTGCCTGTAAGACACTTCTCCCAGCTCTTTACATGACCCATTCCCCCCAACCCCACTCCCCGCCACACACTCTAATCAGGTCTCCAATCAAATGCCCCCTCTGGAAGAGGACTCCCAGACCCCATCCCCTTTGACTACCTTCATTTTTCCTCATAACAGTTTTCACCACCAGCCATGTTCATTCAGCCATTTGGCACATGGTTTCTGAGCATCTACTATATACCAGGTGCTCTGCTGTGCCAGGGGCTATAGCAGGGAAAACACAGACACATCTTCCACCCTCATAGAGCTGACATCCTGCAGGGGAAAGAGATATTACCCATGAGTGAGTGAGGCCCATAGCACATGCAGGCATCGGGCAGGATGTGCTGCAGGGAAGGACAGAGCAAGTTGAGATTTTAGGTGGTGAGGTCAGAGGAAGCCTCACTGATAACACCTATTTGAGCAGAGACCTAAAGGAGGTGATGGAGCAAGCCATGTGGGAACCTGGGGAAAGAACATTTCAAGCGGAGGGAACAGCAGAGGGAAGGCTTAGGCAGGAACAGCTTACAAGCACGAGGAGAGAAGGGCCTTTGCTCACAGCTGAACGCACAGCACCTAGCAGTGCCTGACACATAGTAGGTGCTCAATAAATGCTTACTGGGTAGTAGAGCACTTCTATTCCCCAGGCACTGCGCTAAGTGCATATTATTCCATTGATTTCTAGCAGTTGCCCATCAGAGTTGGACTGGCTTATATGTTCGCCTCCATTTCTGAACCGTGTGGCTTGGGCAGTTCCTTAACCTTTCTGAGCCTCAGTCCTCTCATCTGTAAAATGAGGCTAATATCATAGAGCCACCTTAGAGAGCTGTTGCAAGGAGTAAATGAGCTAATATAATAATGGTGACTGCTTAATAATTGTTAGCAATTATTATTATGGTAGTTGTTATTGTTATTAGGCAATGCAGGGAAGCAGAAGTCGTCACTATTTCCACTTTCAAGGAAGGAGAGGGCAGCTGAATTAGGAAGTCAGGAATGACACACAGGAGATTACCCTGTGGCACCAAAGATTCCCAGAGAAAGCAGAGACAAATGAGAACACAGAAATCATTTGAGAGAGAGAGAGAGAGAGCAGCCCTTGGGCCAAGACTCAAAGAGTGGGTAGGATTTACAGAGGTGGGGAACGGGGATAGAAGGCCCTCCAGGCTGGTGCACTGCACAAACACCTATGGAGGAGAAGTGGAGTACATCAGTCTAACGCACTTCTTGTTCCCCAGCGGAGGGCGTACGTGATGGCTGCCATGGTCCTGGGCATGCTGTACTGCATCTCCTGCTTGGTGCTGGCTCTGGGTGTGAAGGAACAGTTAGGTAAGAGGGGGATCCTGGGGCCAAGAGAGGCAGGGGTGGTCTCGTGCTCTGGGGAGTCCCTGCCTGCACTGGGGAGCCCAGGCTGTGGGAGCATCTGGACAGCGGGGAGGATGGTGGTTCTCACATTTGTGGTGTTGGGGCTTCTTTCCGTGCTTAAACACTGTTGAAGATCCGAAAAAGCTTTTTAGGTGTGTTTTTATCTATTAATATTTATGTTAGAAAGTAAAATGGAGAAAAGCTAAAAGTATTAATTTTAAAAGAACGAGTGCATTACATGTTAACGTAAATATAATCTGTTTTGAAAACTGAACATATTTCCAAACAAAAGGCACTTTGTGAGAATAGTGACATTGTTTTACATTTTTGTGAATCCCTGCATTGTCTGGCTTTAAAAAAAGACAGCTGGATTTTCATACTACTTCTGCATACACTGTGTTGCACTATCCCATGCACATAGCTCCTGGAAAGCTCCACCATACACTGGTGAGAGAATGAGAGTGCAAAAGGTACACACATCTTAGCATTATTAGGAAAATAGTTTTGACCTCACAGACCCCTGATAGCATCTCAATGACCCTCAGAGTTCTCAGAGCTCCTGAAAACAGTTGGAGGACTACTGTCCTGGGTGGTCTCATCCTAACCCATGGCTTTAAACATCTGTATATAATTTCAGCTACATTAACAGAAAGGCCCAAAATTAAAAGTAGATGAGACTGTTCATTTCTCTCAGGAAGAAAAAGAAGTCAACCTATGAAGCAACTCTTTCATGAAACTGTTGGGAGCTCAGGCTCTGTCTGGTTTGTTGCTCAGCTGTTCCTAAGGTGTTGCCCTCCTGCCACAGTCTAAGATGGCTCTGGCCTATCCCTGCATGCCAGCTATTCTAGGGAGAAAAGAGGACATAGTGGGTATTTCTCTGCTCTTTACAGGAAGGACCCTGATGTTACTCACTTCACACTTGTTCACATCCCAGTGACCAGTATCTACTCATATGGCACACCTAGCTGCAAGAGAGTCTGGGAAATGGTATCCATAATCAGAGGTCCTCTGTACCTAAATATAAATCAGGGGTTCTCACAATAGAAAACCCAGAAATAAAGCCATACCCTATAAACCATCTGATCTTTGACAAGGCAAAAACAAACAATGGGGAAAGGAGTCACTATTCAATAAATTGTACTGGGATGGGTAACTGGCTAGCTATATGCAGAAGAATAATACTGGACCATTGCCATTCACCATATACAATAATTAACTCAAGATGGATTAAAGGTTTAAATGTAAGACTTCAGACTATAAAAATCCTAGAAGAAAACCTAGGAAATACCCTTCTTCAGCTTTCACAAAAATGTTTTGGCTAAGTCCCCAAAAGCAATTGCAACAAAAACAAAAATTGACAAGTGGGACCTAATTAAACCACAGAGCTTCTGCACAGCAAAGGAAATTCTCAACAGAATAAACAGATAATCTACAGAATGGGAGAAAATATTCATAAACTATGAATCCAACAATTGTCTAATACCCAGAATCTATAAGGAACTTAAACAAATCAATGAAACAAAAACAATAACCCCATTAAAAAATGGACAAAGGGCTGGGCGCATTGGCTCATGCCTGTAATCCCAGAACGTTGGGAGGCCAAGGCAGGTGGATCACGAGGTCAGGAGATCAAGAACATCCTGGCCAACATGGTAAAACGCTGTCTCTGCTAAAAATACAAAAACTAGCTGGGTGTGGTGGCATGTGCCTGTAATCCCAGATACTCAGGAGGCTGAGGCAAGAGAATTGCTTAAACCAGGGAGTTGGAAGTTGCAGTGAGCCAAGATCGTGCTACTGCACTCCAGCCTGGTGACAGAGCGAGACTCCATCTCAAAAAAAAAAAAAAAAAATGAACAAAGGACATGAGCAGATACTTCTCAAAAGAAGATATACAAGTGGCCAACAAACACTTGAAAAAATATTCATCATCACTAATCATCAGAGAAATGCAAACCAAAACCACAGTGAGATACCATCTCACACCAGTCAGAATTGCTATTATTAAAAGTCAGAAACAGCAGATGCTGGCGAGGCTGCAGAGAAAAGAGAACCCTTATACACTGTTTGTGGAAATGTAAATTAGTTCAGCCACTGTGGAAAGCAGTTTGGAGATTTCTCAAAGAACTAAAAACAGAGCTACCATTTAACCCAGCAATCCCATTACTGGGTATACACCTGAAGGAAAATAAATCATTCTATCAAAAGGACACGTGTACTCATATCTTTATTGCCACACTATTCACAGTAGCAAAGACATGGAATCAACCTAGGTGCCATCAGTAGTGGATTATATAAAGAAAACGTGATACATATACACCATGGAATACTATGCAGCCATAAAATAGGATGAAATCATGTCCTTTGTAGCAACATGGATGCATCCGGAGGCCATAATCCTAAGCAAACTAATGCAAGAACAGAAAACCAGATACCACATGTTCTCACTTATAAGTGGGAGTTAAACATTGGGAACAACACACATAGACGTAAACATGGGAACAACACACATGAACATAAACATGGCAACAACAGACACTCCAGAAGACACAGTGGACTACTGATGGGGAGAAATAAGGAAGGGGCATGGGTGAAAAAACTATATGTTGGGTACTATGCTTACTACCCAGATGATGGGAACCATACCCCAAACCTCAGCATCATGCCATATACCCATGTAACAAACCTGTACATGTAGCCCCTGTATCTAAAATAAAAGTTAACAGTTTAAAGAAATAATAAAAATAAGTAAATCAGGGGTTCTCTTTCTATGAGAGAGGAGGCAAGAACAGTGGCTTCTTTGACTGATTTACATTCAAACCCACAAGGCCCTATCAGGTCTGCCTAGGCTTCTCCCTACACTCCAGTCAGCTTCCCATCCCTATTCTTGTCCAGCCTCTCTGGCTTTCCTTCTGTTCTTCTAGTGAACAGTCTTTCCTCAAGCTTCTGGTTCGTGCTGTTTCTGCCTCCTAGAACAGCCTTCTCCCAGACACCTTCCCAGCTGCTCCTTTCCACTCTCAACTCTCAGCGTGACCACCTGATCTCAAGTAGCCCCCTCCTACCTTATTATTCTTTCTTAGCAGTTTTTTTTCTTCACATCACTTCATTTTATAATCTGTATGTATTCACTTGTTAATTTGTTTTTGTCTTGTTTTGTTTTGTTTTTAACATAAACAAAGATGGGAACTTCTCTTTTGCTCCCCACAAAACACAGAGCATGGAACATATGAAGTAAACAATAATATTTATTGAATGAAGAAATGAATTGTGAGTAGTATTATTAACTCCTTTACCAAAAGTCCACAACTCTCTAGTGATAGAAGAGACCTGAGAGAAAAAAATGCAGATCCATGAGGGCTTTGTAGCAGAAATCTTTTAATTGCAAATGATGGAAACACAACTCAAACTGCCTTAACCAAAGAGAGATTATATTGGTTCACAAAACTGGAAATTCCATAGCTGTTCAGGCATGGTTGGATGCCTGAGCAACAGGATATAGGGGTGATGGTGGAGGATGTACTGCAGGCTGGGAAAGAGGGCAGCCAGGATGACTCACTGTCAGATGCCCAGACAATATCCTCAGGAATCTGTCCTTGCCTCAGGCTCTCAACCCTGCTATCATTATCTTGACCTCTTTGCCAGATGACTTTCCCTTGTGGTGGCAAGATGATCATCAGCAGCTACTGTATTACATCCTTCCAGCCTCCTCCCCTTTCACAGAGGTTCCAGCAACAATCCCAGGGCTGCCTCTCATTGCTCAAATGGAGTCATATGACCCTGCCTAAACCAATCACTGTAACCAGGGGGATGAAGTTTACTGATGGGCTGAGCCTTGAAGCTGGGGATGGGGAGTGGACTTAGGGGCAGTTGGGAGGGGACTCCCTAAAGGAAAATCTGGGTGCTGTTCCTTCAAGATGAGAGCATGAGACTGAGATCACAAGTGCGTGACACACCTCAACCTGACATAACTAAGACAGCCCTCCCCTCCCTGGCCCCTCAGCTCCCTGGCAGCATCCTCACTACTCTCTTCCCCAGCCTACAGCACACCCTCCACCATCGCCCCTATACCCTATTGCTCAGTGGCTTCTTCTTCATCTCCTTGGCCTTCCAAGTGAAACAGGGTAGCATAAGTGCAGCCTGAGGCAGCAAAAAGAGCACTGGGTGGGGATTCCAAAGCCTGCCCCAATTCTGGGCCAACCAAGCATCCCTGTGTGACTTTGGGCTAGTTTCTGCCCCTCTCTGGGCCCCAGGGACCAATTGGCAAAGACCTGATGACCTCTTCCTTCAGGCCAATCTTGCAGTCTCAAGAGGGTCTCCAGAAGGGCAGGGGCAACTTCTAAGGGCATCTTCCCCTTCTGGGATGGGGAAACCGAGGCTGGCCTCACACTCTCTTCAGCCACTTTCACACCAGGAAGGCAGGAAACACGTGTAACCCTGTGATTTGCAGCTCTGTGCAAGCTGGGGACAGGGCTTCAGATCTATACTTTCTCCAGATTCAGTTATCTCCAGAGCCCACCCTGTAAAGGGACTGGCAAAGCCCCATCTGTGCACAGGCCATCACTAGCGCACCACACTGTGTCTGTCATTCCCTGCCTTTTCTCACCCAGACAACTCAAGGGATCTTTGTCTTTTTCTGTACTCACCCTGCAGGCCTAGGTGGGAGCTTCCAGTGCCTGGTGTCATCATGCTGGTATGTCCAGGAAGTGGGAGGTGGCACCAATGTGTAGCCATTTTGCCTGAGTCCACCAGCCTTGGAGTCAGAACACTCTGGGGTAAATCCTGGCTCAGCTCTTCTCAGCTATGTGATCTCCGTGAGTGGCTTCGCTTCTCAGGGCTTCAGGCTCTTCCTCTAATTCCCACTGCACAGGGCTGTGGTGAGCCTGAGCAAGATCAGCATGTCAGTGTCTGGCACAGAACGGGCATGCAAGAAGCATTGGTTCTCTTAGCTCCCAGGGTCATCTGAAAAAACCAGTTGGTTTCTTACCACCAAGAGGCAGTGCCTTTTTGTGGTAAGAAACCAATTTCAAAGGCCAGAGAGTTGGGTTTAAATCCTGACTCTCCACTTACCAGCAGTGATGCTGCAGATGTTATTTCTTCTCTTGGAGCCTCAGTTACCCGTCTGTAGAATGAGAATGATAAACTTATCACAAGGGGTTATGGTGAGGAATAAGTGAGGTCTCGAGAGTACCTGTCATGCAGCTGGTGCCCAGAATTGCTGTCCACTTCACAAAGACCCCGGGTCAACTGGGCAAGCCACATGCCTGCATTTGTCTCTGAGGAGGGAAATTAATCATTTATTCAACAAACATGTCCTGAGCTCCTACTAGGTGCCATGCACTATTCAGCAGTGAGCAAGACATAAATTGCTCTGCTTTCATGGGGTTCACATTCTGGTGTAAGTACAGGCAAAAAATAATGAATGACAAAGTATGATGTGCATGGGAAGGAAGGAGGCACAGAGTACCATGGGAAACGTCATAACAGAGGCCTTCACCTGGCCCAGGCAGTCAGGGAAACCTCCCACTGAAGTGGAAAGGATGAGTTGGAGGTACCCAGGTGAAAATGGGAAGAAGGAGGCATGTTAGGGCAGAGAAAACAGTATCAACAAAGGCCTTGAGGGAAGACCATGAGGAGAGTTAGAAGAACTATTAAAAGTCAACAGGCTGAATAAAGGAAGTAGTGGAGAGATGGGGGCTAGATCCAGGGCTGGGAGGTCAGGAGAGGTCAGATGCTACAGGATCTCCTGAACATGGTGCAGAATCTGGACTTAGTCTTGAGCCAACAGGGAGCCCCTCTACTTGGAAGAATCACACTCTGAGCCCCCACCCTGTGCCTAGCCAGTAAGGAGACAACCATTACTCACTTTTGCAAAAGGCTGTGATTAGGCAGGAAATATGGGTCTTAGAACCCTGCTGAGAAGGTCAGGCTGGCTTCCTGGAAGAAGTGCTGTCTGACCAGGGACTTAAAGAGTGAGCATGAGTCACCCAGACTGAGGTCTTCCAGGCTGAGGGAACAGCATCTGCGCAGGCCTCGTGTCAAGAGGGAATGCAGTGAGTCAGGGGAGTTGCAGAAGAGGACTGAGCATGAGTCAGAGAGGCCAGATCATGAAGTATCTCTTATGCCAGGGGAAAGAATGCTGGCTTTTGAGGGCAGTGGGGGACCATAGAAGGCTCTATGGTCAGGGTGAGTTTGTAGAAGATCATCTCAGCTACAGAATGGCAAATGGATTAGACGTTGCAGCGTGAAGCCAGGAAACCATGAGGAGACTGGGCCAGAGATGTGGGGATACTCTCAATTCCTTGGTAAGTTGTGGTGGCTCTAGCTTCAACACTGATCAGAATCTAACCCTTCCCCCCACCTCCATTGCCCTGTCTCATGCAAATATTTCCATTCAATATATTTCTAGAAGCAGATTTACCGGATCAGAAAGTAGGCAGATGTATTTTACTTCTTTTTTAAATTAAAATATTTATTGAAATAATTACAGACTCTAAGAAATAATACAGACACATCCCATATATGCCCTTTACCTAGTTTTCCCCAATGATAACATTTTGCAAAACTGTAGTATAATATCATGACCAGGATATTTTCATTGATAGAATCCACCCATCTTATTCAGATTTTCCTACTTTTACATGCATTCATTGTGTGTGTGTGGTGTGTATTTAGTTCTATGCAAATTTTATCACAGGCATAGGTGTGTATATTCACCACTGCAATCACAATAGACACCTTCATCATCACAAAGATATCAAAGGACTTTATTCTTTTATAATCATACCTGTTTTCCTCCTTCAGCCACTCCCTACCCATCCTTAAGCCCTGACAAGCACTAACTAATCTGATCTCCATTTTAAAATTTTTATTCTTGCAAAAATAAATACTTATGGAATAAATATTAATGGAATCCTACAGTATGTAACCTTTTACAATTGACTTTTTTTCACACAGCATAATTCCTTGGAGATTCATCCAAGTTGTTGCACCTACCAGCAGTTCATTGCTTTTTATTGCTAAGGAGTATTTAATGATATATATGTACTGTAGTTTACTGAACCATTCACCCACTGAAAGACATCTGGGTTGTTTCTAGTTATTAGTTCTATGAATTAAGCTACTGTGAACATAGGTGTACAGATTTTCGAGTGAACATGTTTTCAGTTCTCTGAAATGCTCAAGAGTGCAGTTGCTAGATCATATAATAGTTGCATGTTTCATTTTATAAGAAACTACCAAGCTGTCTTGATTACTGTAGCTATACTGTAAACCTTAATATTGAGTAGATTGATTCCTCCCACTTTATTCCTGTTTGTCAAGGTTATTTTAGCTATTCTAGAGACTATACACGTCCTTATAAATTGGAAAATAAACGTATCTATAGTTACAAAAAATCTTGCTGGGATTTTTATATGAACATTGAACCTACAGATAAATTTGGGGAAAACTGATATCTTTACTATGTTGAGACTTACAATCTGTAAACACAGTATTTTCATTTATTTATATCTTTTATTTCTTTTATCTGGTATTTTATCACTTTCAGCATACATATACTATGCATGTTTTGCTAAATATTTCGTTTTCTTTGGAGAGATTATAAGTGGTATTGTGGTTTAAAGTTTTGTTCCATAGATTCATTGCTAGTGTGTAGAAATGTGACTGAAGTTTGTGTGTTTATCTAGTGTCTTATGACCTTGTAAACCCACTTTTTAGTTGGAGTTTGTTGAATTTTAAATTCCTCTAGATTTTCTACAAACAGATTATCTATAAATTGTACAGTTTTATTTCTTCTTTTGTGATGTTAGGCATTTTATTTCCTTTTCTTGCCTTGTTGCAGTGGCTAGACCTTCCAGTATTGTGTAGAATAAGAGTGGTAAGACAGAGCATCCTTGTTTCCGTCTTAGAAGGAAAGCGCCATTAGGAAAGCATTGTAAGAGGAAAGCAGTCTTTCACCATTAAGTATATTAGCTGTGGATTTTTTGTTTTGTATAATTATTTTACATGTTCTTTATCAAGTTGAAATAATTCTGCACTATTTATGACTTGCTGGGAGACTTAATGAGTTTTGGATTTTGTCAGATGCTTTCTTTTTGCATCAATTCATATGATTATGTGCTTTTCTTTCTTTAGCTTGTTGATACAGTGAACTGATTGATTTTTGAATGTTGAATTACCATAGCTGTAATAAATCTAACTTCATAATGGTGAATAATTATTTTTATACATTGTTGGATTTGGCTTGCTTATATTTTGTCAAGGATTTTTGCATCAGAATTAATAAGAGATATTGGTCTGTAATTTCCTTTCTTTTTATTTTGTCTCATAACACTGGCCTCATCAAATGAATTGAGAAGTGTTTCCTCTGATTCTATTTTATGGAGGAGATTGGATAAAATTGGTGTTTTTTCAAATGTTTGGTAGAATTATCCAGCTTTGGAGCATTTTAATTATGAATTCAGTTATTTTAATGATTTTTTTTTTTTTTTGAGACGGGCTCTCACTTTGTCACCCAGGCTGAAGTGCAATGGCACGATATCGGCTCCCTGCAACCTCCACCTCCCAGGTTCAAGTGATTCTCCTGCCTCAGCCTCCTGAGTAGCTGGGATTACAGGCATCCGCCACCATGCCCAGCTAATGTTTAAATTTTTAGTAGAGATGGGGTTTCACCAGGTTGGCCAGGCTGGTCTCAAACTCTTGACCTCAGGTGATCCACCCACCTCAGCCTCCCAAAGTGCTGGGATTATAGGCATGAGCCACCATGCCCGCCCATTTTAATGATTTTAGGACTGACCAAACTATCTGCTTCATCCTGGCTGGGTTTTGGAAGTTTTTTTATTTTTGAGGAATTGTTTCATTTCTTCTAAGTTATCAAATTTATGAGCATCAATTTATTTACAGTATTTCCTTATTATCTTTTTAATGGTTACAAGATCTATACTGGCATTCCCTGTTTCATTTGTGATACTGGTGATTTGTATCTTCTCTCTTTTTATTTTTCATCTTGCTAGAGGCTTATCAATTTTATTTAATAAATCAGCTTTTTTGCATTTTTTTGTTGTTTTTCTGTTTTTGATTTTATCTATATCTGCCCTGATTTTTACTGTTTCTTTCCTTATGCTAGCTTTGAATTTATGTTGCTCTTCTTTTTCTAGTTTCTAGAGGTACTAACTTAAATTGCTAATTTGAGACCTTTCATCTTTTCCAGTTAAGCATTTACTGTTATGAATTTTCCTTTCAGCATTACTTTTGCTGCATCCCACATATTTTGGTACCTTGTATTTTTACTTTTATTTGGTTTTATGTAGTTTTTAAATTTCCCTTTAAACTTCTTTGAGCCGTAGATTATTTAGGAGTATGTTGCTTAATTTCCACATGTTTAGAGATTTTCTGCCTTTATACTACTGATTTGTAGGTTTATTCCATTTTTGTCAGAGAACATACTCTATAATTACAATTCTTTTAAATTTGCTAAGGTTTCTTTCATGGTCCAGGATATGTCTATGTTGGTATATATTTCTTGGGTTCTTGAAACTAATGTGTATTCTGTGTTGTTGGTTGGAGTATTTTATACATGCCTATTAGATACTGTTGTTTAATGGTGTTGTTGAGATCCTCTAAATCCTCACTGATTTTCTACCTAGTAGTTCAATTGATTATTGAGATTGGGTTGTTTATGCCCCTGACTGTAATTGTGGACTTATCTATTTCTCCTTTCAGTTTTATTAGCTTTGGCTTTACATATTTAAGTCTCTGTTGCTTGGTGCATGCACATTTAATATTGTTTTATCTTCCTGGTGGATTGATCGTTTTATTCTTATGTAATATCCCACTTTGACTCTAGTAAATTTCATGGTTCTGAAGTCCACTGTATTTGATATTCATTTAGCCACTTCTATTTTTTAAACTGTTTGCATAATATATCTTAATATATCACTTACTTTCAACCTACCTAAATTGTTGAATTTGAAATGAGTTTATCATAAACAACATATATACCCTGCCAATCTGTCTTTTGATTGTTATATTTAATAATTTAAGATTGTCAAGATGCTAGGTGTTGAGATGGTCAGTTAGGACAATAAGCCAAATGAAATTAATAGTCAAGACTTTGTTCAC